CAATGGGAATAAGGTAACAAAAGATAAATTGCTAATGAATCAACTGGCAAAGAATAAATGCTTTTTGAATGACGACTGTTCCATGGACCCAATGAATAGTGTTTCATTCTTTCATATGACTAAGTGACTTAAAAGCTTTTTGAGTGATCCTGACGTCTTTCATAGGAAAGCGGCGACACATGATGATGAAATCCAGAGGCTGTATGAAGAAATGGAGCAACAGATCAAGAATGAGAAAGACAGGATACTTTTAGAGGTGAAACAATTATTACAGTCGAGTGTTAAAACTTGAGTTTTACCATGGACCTCAAATTGTGTACTTCAATGAAACCTAATGAAGGACTATAAAGGGGGGGGGGGCGGCTCATAGACTTTCATTGAAAGTCATATGTAGAGACCAGAATATCATAGAAATTTAGGAAAGGGATCTTTTTTGTTGGGCCAAGAAAGAATCACCCAGAACACCCACTGTCATTATCAAAACTAACTATAATAACAAAAAATGATTCTGAAAGGTTCTTAGACTAGCAATCTCATATGGGATTTATCATTTATGATTTTACAGTAGAAACACAAACTGTTGCTATGTACCATGGTAAATTGTATGGGTCATGTGATCTGTGTATTTTCCAGGATTCTGAGCGGTTCTTGTCTCGCAGTCAGGACTTGGAGCATCAGCTTTCCACTAAAGAGAAGGAGCTGGAAATTATTTCTAACAAACAGAAACGGGTGGGTCACAACAAGTTCCTTTACTTGTCACTAAACCAGTTTAACTAGTAATAATTATGAAGACATTGCACACCTATTAACTATTTTTAAATATTTAATTTAAAGATGCTTGGATAAGAATTATACAGAGAGTGAGATCATTTCCTGTAAGGGTTTTAATCCTAGTGAAAGATCAAGAAAAGGCTGTAACTTGAGCTCAAGAACAAACTAACATCTACATTTTAAGGACTTTGACTCAAATATGAGTCTTAATGCTCTGAAGTTTCTCTTGTATTACTCTGATTGTTTAACATAATCGCCAGATGTTGATCATTTGCTGGAAATTTGTGTTCAAGTTTCAGAAAACCACATCTGACAGTGCTGACGCACACAAAAATAGATGCTGATCTTTACACACAATAGACAAAACCCAGCAAAGCCTTTCCATGCTAATGAATGAACAGAAAGTAGCAAAGTCTTAATGCCTCCTTTGCCTCTGTCATTACAAGCTTCGTTTTCTTCTCTTCGCATTTGTGATCAGCTAAAGCAAATTAGTTCCTTTATTGTGCTCTTTGCTGCAGTGCAACTTTGTGCAAAAGCAAGCAGAACTGCTTTTCTGCTGCGAGGAGCTGAAGTGTGGTGCTGTATGTTTGGTTATAGACGTGGTATTGTGTCCTATTTTGTCTATATTTAGCAGCATAGCATGAGTGTAAGAGCTTTCTTATCAATTCTTTCTCTCACAATGTCCCAGCCAAACATTCACAATAACACTTCCAAGGCCATCCTTCCAAGGATAGTGGTGTAAATATGCATGGCTGGCATGGAGGCCACACATTTTGTGTAAAACCTGATGGTCATGTTATCCAGCACGATTTGTTTCAAAGTGCTTGTTGTTCTTCAGTTATTTTTATGATAGCTTATATGTTGATTGTTTCATTTGTATGTGTGTGTTTGTTTGATGTCGGTCAGCTGGAGCATCAGTGTCGAGAGCTGCACAGCGAGCAGCGGGAGACAGCCGTGGAGAATGTTAAACTAAAGCAGTATAATGAGGACTTGAGCCGTGAGCTGGAGCACACCACCCAGGAGCTGAGTCTGGCCCAGGAGCAACTCATGCTGCTGCAGGAACAGGCCTCACGCCTGCACGAGGAGAGAGAGATGTGAGGAAGATATGACATTTAGTGCTATATGTACATGCATATATACTATATTTGCATGTTTTGGACATAGTGTATTAATTTATAT